CCTCAACCAACCACTTATTTTTGAGGTCCACTTCCATGAGGTCTCCGTTCATATCAATAGTATTTTTCTTATTTGCCATAAAATATGATTTAAACACCACTTCATCCAGGTAACTTAGCTTTGTATTGCCACCCAATTTAATACTGTTGGACACATCAGTCGCGGTTAAATCCCTGCCAAATGACGTCCCTATTAAGTCATTGCCCATCAGATTAATGACCAGGCTATCGGTGATTGGGTCCGTTATGTTAAAAGCACCGGTAGCTATATTAATTAACATATTTTGCGACAGGTCCAATTTACTCAACGCTAGTAATAAATAGTAAAAATTCAAATTTTATAAATTAATTAAAATTTTATAAAACATTTTTTTGTAATAAACTGTATTTAATTAAATAATTATAATAATAATAATTTATGCTAACTAATCGTATGTTAGTGTAATAAGCGAAAATTAAATATTTTATAAAATAAATAATTACAGCTAGAATAATTTACCTCTAAGCTTGGTAAATGCCTGTTTACCAACATGACCAATTTTGCCACCTGGACTACCGGCGCTAAAACTAATGGATGTCAAGTTTAGTTGATCACCAATTTTATTGGTAAATGCATTATCAGGTACAGTCATTATTTGACTGCCTATTATTTGAATGTCCCGCACAGATATCAGGGTACTTAACGCACCAAACAGGTCACACTCCTTACTTTTTTGGGCACTAAATAAAAATAAATAATGAATTAATTTTAAATGTAAAAGTAATAATATAAACAAGTAACTTTTTAACAGTAGTTTTCATTAGTAAATATACAAAATTCACAAAAACCAAATGTTTACTAATCTAAAAACTTTTAATATTAAACACTTTAATTACTATAATAGTAGTTTGCTAACAATTATATACAATTATAAACTATAAATTATTATAAATGTATTTTATAATGTATTTCAGGTTACTAACTTTGGGACTCACACATTATAAACCTTTTCAAATACACCCTTACCCTAAATGTGTCAGGGTGGCCTCAAAAGTCTCAACACTCTCCTCCTGTCCCCCGAAAGCCATGGGACTGACACACTGTAGCTTTGAGCACCCAGTTAGCTTGATGTTTTTGAACATAACCCCCCGAAACATCAGTGACTCCAGTTTCTCAATGGCACTACTTTCCAACTCAAACGTCTCGTAATACCGGTGCTGTTTGCCGTTCAGTAGGGTTTGAAATATTGTACCCATGTCAAATGGCTGTACGGCCAGGCACTTAATTGTTTTGCCATCGCACGTACATGGTGATATTTCACTAGGGTCATCTGGGCAGTACTCACCATTTACCACACAGGTTGTAAATAACAGTATCAGGGCTAATTTATTGAGTATCATATTAGTTTATTAATGTAATATTATATATTTTGATATAAAACTTGCCTGTTATTTGTTTAATAGGTAGCATTGTGTTTGTTTTTAGTAAATAGGTCACTAATACATAACTAGTCTATTTATATAGTAAATGTAGTAGATAATGTTAAAAATATCTATGTTTCCAAGTAATACCTTTTCAGTAGAGTATTTAAATCGATATTGATTTCAGGGAATAAAATATTATTATCAATATATTAATACAACTGCAATAAATATCGTATCAA